TCTATTTCTCACTCCTAGAGTAAAATTATTGTTTTGCAGCTCTGCTTCCTGGGGTATCTGTGTAGCCTGAGTTATCCAAGGCTCTCTAAGGAGGTCTGCACATCTGCTTCTGCCAGGGTCCACTTCACCTTTTTAAACAAAGTTTTTACCTTTTGAAATCTAAAAATTACAACACAAAAGTCTGTTTACTCAACAAATAGTTATCATGCGGACAAGGCCGAAGTCCTGTCCTCTTGTAGCTTATAACAATACTAATTAATGGCACTTAAAATAAGTTCAAATTTATGTAAAAACTAGGGGGCCAGTGCACAAATTTGTGCACCTTGAAAGAAACAGTGGGACGTGAGGCTGTGGTAAACACAGGGGCAGGTCTTGGCCCATCCTCTGTGTCCCTGCCTGGCCCTTCCCACCATGGATCCCTGTCTGCTGGCAGCCTTGCTCCGACCACCACCACTCCCACACTCTGATGGTGTTGGCCCCACTCACACTCAAGATAGTATGGAGCAATTGGGACCAGCACCAGCAGCGAGTATGAGTGGGGCCAGCGCTATCAGCAGGTTTGAGCAGTGGCTGCTGTCCCAATCACCCCTCAGAATCAGGGAGAGGTAGAGAAGCCCTCAGGGGTGATTGGGGCTGGCAGCGGGTTCAAGTGGGACCATTGCCAGTAGCATGTGTGAGAGGCGGCTGCTGGCCCTTATCACCCCTCAGGAAAAGGGGGAGGGAGGGAGAGAAAGAGAGAGAGAGAGAGAGAGAGAGAGAGAGAGAGAGAGAGAGAGAGAGAGCGAGAGAGAGAGAGCGCAACATTAATTTGTGATTTGTTGTTCCACTTATGTATGCATTCTTTGGTTAACTCTTGTATGTGCCCTGACTGGGGATCGAACCCATATATCTGGATGACACTCTAAACAGCTGACCCAGCCAAAGCTTGACGGATTTATTTCTCACAGCAATATCCTGGATAGATATTTCTAGTATTTTACAAATGAAGAAACCAATTGAAGACACTGGGCTGAGATGCACTCCATCCAATCTTTTACATTTCCTTCAGCCACGGTCTTTTCTGATGCATTCTCAATCTTGTGCATCTTGGCTCACAACAAAAATAATATTTCTATGTCTCATGGGGATAAATGGATGAAGCTGCTCACAGCTGGAGGTGACTGGACCTTGTTGCTCTGTTTGGCTCACACCCTATCTAGTGCCCCTTATAGCATAGTATAAGTATTCCAATTGTCCATTTGCAGATGTGCAAAGGTGCACAGTTTGGGGTGATTTTAGAATGACTTTTGACAATAAAATTTGGCGGGGGGTGAGCTATTTTTCTGGTAAACACTTTCGGATAACCAGCACACAAAACCTTCTGCCGTTGCCATGGAAAATGGACAGAGACAAAGTACAAAGCTGATCTCTAGCATTATGACATTTTATAAATCAAGGCTGACTCTACTTGTTAAACTCTTTCATTTTGTTGTCAACATGTTCCATGTGTCCTTTCCTAATGCAGTGATCAAATACCAAGATTTCTAGGTTTCTAGATTAGCAATAAACATAAAATCATTTTAGAATCCATCTCCCAATTTCCTCTCCTACTTTATCTTTGCCATGAGTCAGAATTCTCTGAAAAAACAAAACGTTTTTGATATGCAGCAGATGTTTGATTCTGGAACGAAAGTGTTTTGCCCAGCGTTGGTGGGAAGCACTTTGGCAGCCTTTGTTTTTGCAGTTACTGGGAAAGAGAAACATGCCCAAAGCTACATTACTGAGGAGAAGGGCTGTTTTTAAAAATGTGAATAATTAACTTATTAAAAATCTCTAATGGAAGGGGACAGCAATAGGCCTGTTGAAACATGAGGAAGGCCTTAGCTGTTTTGGCTCAGTGGATAGAGTATCGGCTTGTGGACTGAAGGGTCCAGGGTTTGATTCTGGTCAAGGGCACATATCTCCGTTGCAGGCTCTTTCCTGGCCAGGCCTTGGTTGGGGGTTGTGCAGAGGACAACCAATCAATATTTCTCACTGTCTTTCACTCTCTCTAAAAATATCCTTGGGTGAGGATTAAAAGGCAACAAAAGAAACAAATGAATGAACAAAGGAGAGGAAGAAAAGTGAAGGAGGAATACACTTGTTAGTAAATCTTTAGAATTGACATAAAGCTATAAAGAGGGAAGACCACAAATTTTCACAGAAGACCTGCTATGTGTATGGTAGTGACTGTGCTCCCCTAAATTCCACAATTAACTTGGACCCTTATATAAAAGTTGCTATTGGTTTCCTTGCCTAAAGGCAGGACCAACTATGCTATAATCCCAGTACCAGCACTGCTCACAGTATTGAGTGAAGCTTGACTTCAGGTAAACTATAGCATTTTTTTGTTCCTTCTCTTGCCTTATCCTGCTTTCTCCACTCCCTTTCTCCTCTAACAAAGGGTTCAATCTCAGGCTGTGCTTCTTGGGAACCTGACTCAAGACACTTTATTTTACTGATAGGATAATTTAATGGAATCACACAGAGGTTAGAAATTGAGTGGAGATAACTCAGCTGGTATATGAAAGAACTGGTATTCAAATCTCAGCTTTTCTAACTTTACCAGGCTATTTCTTAATGTAGTTTTCATGTACAGTTGGTAGGTGGGATAATTAAAATACTCTTTTATCTTTCTGCATTTCAGTTTTAACAGCATGCTGGTGACCATGGATCAAGTCTTACATATATATCTGAACTAGAGGCCTGGTGCACAAAATTTGTGCATGGGGGTGGGGGGTTAGGGGAGGGAAGGGAGGGAAGCGTTCCTCAGCCTGGCCTGTGCTCTCTGTCAGTTTGGGAGCCCTTAGAGAGTGGGCCTAAGTCATCAGTCAAACATCTTTAGTGCTGCTGAGGAGGCAGGAGAGGCTCCTGCCACTGTCAATGCACTCGCCAGACATAAGCCTGGCTTCTGGCTAAGCAGTGCTCCCCTGTGGGAGCGCACAGACCATCAGGGGGCAGCTCCTGCATTGAATGTCTGCCCCCAGGTGGTTAGTACACGTCGTCATAGTGACCAATTGTTCCACTGTTTGGTCAATTTGCATATTGGCCTTTTATTATATAGGATTGCTGGTTCCAGATTGTCAGTAGCTTCTTGGATGTCCAGGACACCTCAAACTCAACATATCTAGATCTGAGGACATTATTTTCCCTCAAAGCTGCCTTTTTTGTAGTCTGCTCTAATTCATTTAATGGCAACTCCATCCTTCCAGCTGCCCCAGCCCAAAGCCTTGAAGCACCTTTGATTGCTCTTGTCCTCTCCTGCCCTACCTCCAATCAATCAGCGAATCAGTGCTGTTTTATCTGAATTCTAGATACAGTCAGAATCTGATCAATTCTCTTAACCTGCACCACTGCCACCATGATCTGAGCTGCCATTGTCTAGTCTGGATTGGGGCTATAGTGTTTTAACTGGCATTTCCCTGATTTTTTTTTCTCCATGTAGCTAATTTTAATAACAGCCAGAGGAATTCTTTTAATGTGTGACTCTGCTGCCTCTCACTTCATTTACAGCAGTGTTTCCCAAACTTCTCTCATGATGAGAATCCCCTGGTGGAGTGTTAAAATACAGATTCCTGAATCCCAACTAAGAAGTGCTAAACTAGAATTTTTGGGAACATATAGGTAAAATTGTATACTTAGCTAGTGCTTACATTGACCTACAAGGCCCTATGTAATATACCCTGCCACCTTCCATTACCTCTGTTATCTCTTACTACTATTTTCACTCCCTCAATCCACTCCCACACACTGGCCTCCTTGATGTTCCTCAAGCACATTGGACATGCTTCTGCAACACGGCCTTTGCACTGGCTGTTCCCTTTGCCAGGGACACATTTTTTAAAGATATTTGTATGAATTCTCTCATCTTCTTTGAAGTTTTGCTCAAATATCACTTATTTTTGTTTAAAATTTATACTGGCTGGTATGGTTCAGTGGTTGAGTGTCACCCTGTGAGCCTGGAGGTCACAGTTCAATTCCCAGTCCAGGGCAAAAACCCTTGTTTCAGTCTCAATCCCCAGCAGAATGTGTGCAAGAGGCAGCCAATCAATGATTCTCATCATTGATGTTTTTATCTCTCTCTCCTTCTCCCTTCTTCTCTAAAATAAAAATTTATACTTATATTTAAAATAAATAAAATTGAACCCCAACCTTAATAATCAATTTTCTTTATCTTACTTACCTTTTTGGTAAAATACCTGTAACAAAAAGGTAAGTAAGAAAAGCACTTACCTTTTTCTAATATACAGTGATATTGATTATTAACTAACTTATTTTTGTTTTCTTCTTTCTCTATCCTCACTAGGATGAGATCACACAAAAGGAGAGACCTTTGTTTCTAATCCCTGGTATACCCCTTGCACCTGGAACAGAATGACATATAGTAGCAATCAATAAATATATGCTAAATGAATGAAGGAAACTTACCTCTTTCAGTTTGAACATCTGTCTTTGAGCCAAAATTGGAGCTGTACAGAGTAATATTTTGGAGTTGAATGATTAATATAATAACTTAAGAAAAATGTTTGAGTATATAATTAAAATGGGGATTCTACACATGCAAATACACACACATCCAGACTCAAAATTTTCATTCCTGTCATCAAATTGTTCTGTTTGTCCCTTTTACAGGAGAATTTTTCTTTAAGGTCTTGTGCTTCATCATTGAGGCATTGGAGGACTGATTCTTATCAGTAAATGACTGGCAAATTCTCTTTTGTTTGATTAGCAACTAAAGAAGAGCACAGTAAAAAATCAGCTATTTATGAAATTTTAAATAAAACAACTCAATATTCTTTTTTAAGTTGTATTACCCATCCTCTGTTTCTTTTTTTGTTTTTCTAGGTTAGCATGTTTATTCCATCAAAGGAAATCATATTCTTCCTATGTCAAATGGGAATACATACTGGAATTGTGGGGCACTATAAAATTAATATTCACACATGACTAAAATATTGCACTATTTACAGTTTGCTTGGTTATCATGTAGTCCTAAGTTTCTATGGAAGGAATTATAACAAACACCTTACAAGAAAACATGTAAACATATGTATTATATGCATAAAAAGGACTGGAAACATCTTAAAATACTACCCCATTCTCTCTGAGGGGCAGAACTGGGGAATTTATTTCAATTTCCTGTACACATTTCTTGAGGATTTTTATAGGCTCTGCACATTTGTGTTCAGGTGAATAAAAGTTTCAATCCCCATCACAGGTCCGTCCTCCACTTTTAAAACTTTCATATTCTTTTATCTTAAAAAAAAAAGGAAGTATCAACCCAAGTATCCTTAAAAATGCCCTTTCTAGACTCATTCTACTTCAGTTATATTTTTTCCAACTATTTCGATAGCTGTAAAGTTTGATCTTTTATACATTTCTGAAGGCTATGTTTTTACAAGTGACATAATTGTTCTTTTGGGTAGTACAAACTGTGCTGTTGGAGGGTTGTAAAATATTGGCTGCCTCAAGACTTGTGACAAATTCTGAATGGTCCCTTGGTGATCAGCAGTAATGACTGTCCCCATGGAGATGAAATCCCTTCTGTCACAATACTGATTCTGGAGTTGAATGTGTTCCTGGCCCCTTGAGCAATCAGCAATTGCCCCTGTAGAAAGTAGGTGATCATTGACAGAGGTCATGCCCCATACATTTTAAAAGTTCTGGGTCACAGGTATATTTCAAAGTAGAGCCTGGAACTCCTCAATTATTGTTAACATCTTTCAAACTGCCAAGCAGGGCCCTTCAAACTAATCAAGTTTAAGATAAATAAGGTAGTTTCCATTTTGGCATCATTTATCTTTGTGGATGCAGCATTTTGCAAATTCAAATAGCCTGCAATCTATATCCCAAAGGAGCACATTGAGGGTGACTTTTTAAAACATTGCTGAACTTGCCATTTACTTTTAAGTAGGTGGGATCCCTCCTCACTCCCCTACCCCCAATGACTTCAACAAGAAATGATGCTAACTATCTCTCTATATAAAAGGCTAATATTCAAAGTGTTCCATAGGATTTTTGACCAGGAGACTGGGAGTTTGATCTCTTGCTATCACGTGCATTGACGACCAGGGGGCAGTGTGAAACATGGCAGGCAACCAGCAGCAGCTGCAGGGCATTGAGGGAGTGAGGGAAGGAGGAGGCCGGGAGGCAGGGAACCTGATCAGCCCTGATTGATGGCCAAGCCTAGGAACCCTATCCATGCACAAATTTTGTACACCAGGCCTCTAGTAGGGTTAATAATAGGAGGAGGGGAGAGAATAATCTTTAATCATTACTAATGAAACATTTGAGAGGAAAGATGTACATATATTCTCAAGTGGCTGTGACTGGACCTGCAAATCAAAACCCATATCAATTTTTGTTTTGTAGGAAGAAAAACACAAACTATGAGGGTACATTATATTGAGCTACATTTAGAAATAATCAACTTCAAAAGAGAAGTTTATTTCTTATAAATGACCTAGAATTCTTCCCATCTGAAAACAGGTGCAGAAATGGCCACCTCCAAGTGAGTTACATAAACATATTTCTTGAGGGTGTTTTTCTTCCCTCTCAGATACTTGTTTTTATTCAAGAATATTACATGGTAAGTGAAATGCTAACTTCTATTCCATTCTTTGCTGGAAGGAAGTGCTTATTCATTAATTGGAAAGAGAAGGAAAGAAACCACAGCTGCCCAACTGGTTACACTAACCACTTTCTGTTTTCAACATCTTCTGCCAAAAATAATGTCTGGCATTAGGAGGGGGAGAAAAACAAATACAGTTGGAGATTTGAGAAAAATCAATTCATTTTAGCATTGTGTTACTTTTATGAAGGGAAAAAAACACAACAAACATCAAAGAAGTGGTTGTGTATCACAACCCCAGGTATTAAAATATGAAATGTCTGCTTACTTCAGTTCCTGAGTTTTGCTTTAGCCAAAAGTTAATTTTCCTGGAGAATGTATAAAGACCCTTGGATTTCTAGAAAACTCTTTAGTGAACGTGTCATTATCCTTAACAGGACTCTGATGGTTCTCTAAACAGTACATATGCTTCCTAAATTACTGTTTTTATTTTTGTAAGAACATATTTTATGCATTAAAAAGAAGTGCTTTCAAATTTTTTCTTGATCAATAGCTTTCTTCTCTCTTGTTTTATTTTTTTAGTAACTTAACTAAGAAACAAAGAAAAACAACTTTGAAATACTATTAAAATAAAAGTATTTTTGTATACATTAAAGCCGTGTCTAGTGAATAATAATTTAATTGATTAATACCGATTGTGTGTAGGGTCCTACCACAAAATAAAAAATAAAACATTGTGAAAGTCATCAATTTATATTTAATTGTTCAGCAGGTTGTTCAAAGCTAGGAGAATATTTCATATTCTAAAAAGAAAATTGCTAATTCTGTCTCTTCCCTGGCAGTTTCACTGGCAAGGAATTGTTTCTTACAATTCAACTTTCTTTTCTTCTTTGATCCTCAGAATGTGGAGTTGATCTGGTCACAACTGCTGCAGGAAAATGCTTGGACAAAAGTTAACTTTCTATTTAACCCCCTTCTGTGGCTCTTTAAACATTTCCTTCCTTTTCATAGAATGCTCTTTCTGAAAGTTGTCATATTGCCAAATTCTTGTCACCTTCCAATTTTAGCTCAAAAGCTACTTTTCACCAGCAGCTACCCCTTGCCAAAGTTCCTAATTGAAATTGTAATATTAATATAGTCTCAATATTCTGTATTTCTCAGATTTTAAAAAAGACACAAAAGTCATGGTGACATAGAAAAAGTAATGTATTCAGGATACTCAAAGAAAAGAAGGAAACTCCTCAGTGCTATAAATAGGATGACATATTTTTATTTTCTGTATACCAATACATCAGGGATAAGTGCATGTTAGATACCAGTTTTTAATTGAAAATTGTGAAAGTGACTTCTCTGTCCTTCACTGTTATAACCCGGAACTAGCTCTTTGCATACTTTCAGTTTTCTTTACTTTTTTTGGTTCTATTTCATCATGTGTATGCTCTTAATATATTACATGCTTCTGGAAGGCAGAGCACGTTTCATGCATTTTTGTATTCTCCATTCCATTCAGAAAAGTTCACTGTATAAAATGAGCTCTCCACATATGCATGAAGAATGAGCATCCTATTTTCCTATTGACAAGACTCATGATATATTTTTATTTTCTGTATAGATATCAACTAGTTTTTAATTGAAGTTGTAATATTAATAGTCTTAATAGTCTGTACTTCTCAGGTTTTAACAAAAGACACACAAGTCATGGTCACATAAAAAAGTATGGATTCAGGATACAAAAAGAAAAGAAGGAAACTCCTCATTTCTATAAATATCAAATATGTTTTGTTTGTTTGAAATTTCCTACTGCATAGTAACAGGAAAAGGACTTAGAGAGCTCAGAGTCTTTTTAGAGATAGAATCTCCCTTCCCGGTAAATGTGAAAATGTACTCTCAACTTTTTTACATAGTTCCCTATGAATAATGAATGTGCTTAAAGGAATATGCTGCAGTTTGTTTCAAGCAAAACTGAGATATAAGTAAAAACAAAGGTGGTGTATTCCCTCTGTCCTCCCCCCCCCCCATTTTTAATAGAAGAAAGGGAGATGTGGAATGTTAGGAATTATTTATAAAATTAGCGCACATTCCTCTGATTAACACGTTGTCCCACTTTGCTCAATGCTGTAAACACACTATGGTAGAATAGCTACTTTCACAGACTCCCGGCTACAGGGCACACTGGGTAAGCAAAGTTGGATGGTTTTCAGAACTGTCATCCTTAGTAAATTTATAGACACAAAGAGACTGTCATTAAAATTTAGTCAGTGACCCCGAGCTTGGAATAATTTCCAACTGTTACTCTCAGCCAGGGGTGGACTAAAGTCTAAGGAGCGATTAGGGGCAAATAACAAGATTGGATTCTGACATGCTGGGTGAGAGGTGAGTAGAAAAGAATTGAGATGCTGATTGTATGATGTTAGATAATTTAAATCTAACTAAAGAAGTGATTTCTTCTTTGCTGAGCAGTCATAGTTATTCAGCAGGGTCAGCTGCCAGCAACATGATCATAATCAGTGCTTCTCAAAGTTGGGTGTGCATAGAAATCACCTGAGGATCTTGTTAAAATGCAGATTCAGATGCAGCAGGTCTGGCCTGGGCCTGAGATTTCACAGCTCTCACTGGCTGCCAGGTGATTCTCAAAACACACTCGAGCTATCAGAATAATAAGGATCTACTGGTACAATTGTGCTAATTCAGTATATGGTGGCTGCATGTGGATATTAAACACTGAATCGAGATGTGCTGTAAGTGTGAAATACACATCAGGTATTTTTACTGAAGTACAACTTAAATACCACACAATTACCCCATTTAAAGTATATAATTTAGTGGTTTTTGGTATATTCACAAGGTTGTGTAACCATCACCACTACCTAATTCACCAGAACATTTTCATCTCCCCCCAAAAAAACTCCATACCCTTTAGCTGTTATCCACCTCCCATTCCTACTTTCCTCCCAGGCTCTGGCAATCCATTTTCTAGATTTTCTTTCTTTTTGGGTTTGCCTACTTTGGACATTTCATCTAAATGCAATCATATAATATGTAGCTACTTTCATTTCTGATACTGTTTTCAAGGTTCCTCTATGTTGTAGCATGTATCACTACTTTCTTCTTTTTATGGTTAATTAATATTCCATTATAAAAATGTCACTTTTGTTTATTCATTTATTTGTTGATAGACATATGGATTGTTTCTACCTTTTGGTGATTATGAATATGGTTGCCATTAACATTTCCATACAAATATTTGAATCAACATATGTTTTTAGCTCTCTTGAGTATATACCTAAGAACAAAATCACTGGGTCATATGGTAACTCTCCTTTTTGATTTTTTGAGGAATTGCCAAATTCTTTTCCAAAGTGGCTGAAACATTTGATATTCTTTTCAGAAATTTATGAAGGTCCCAGTTTCTCTACATTCTTCCTAATACTTGAACCAATATTAATATATTACTATTATTAAGTAAATTCAATATTTTATTGAGATTTCCTTATTTTTATTTATTTATATTTTTGTGTTTCAGGATCCCATCCAAGACACCACATTACATTTGGTTGTCATATCTCCTCAGACTCCTCTTGGTTGTTATGGTTTATCAGACTTCTCTTATTTGAGAAATTTGACCATTTGGGAAGTACTGGTCAGCTATATTGTAATATATTTTTTCTGTTAGAATTTGTCTAAAATATTTCTGATAAACCTGGAATTATAGATAGGTTTGAGGGAGAAATATCACACAGAAAGATAACCACATCATATCAAGGATGTATACTATTAACATGATTTGGTCATTTTGATTTTGATCTTGATCACTTAGTTGAAAGCACTGTTTCTCAGATTTATCCACAATAAACTTATTTATTTTTTAAAAAATATAATGATAAGAACTCATATATTTATTTTATACTTTGGGTTATAATCCAATGCCATTTTTATTTTATTTTTTCCTCAAATTATTCAAAGTTTGACAATTGAAGACTCTTTCAGTTTTACATGCTCTGATCAGTGTGAGATTTGTTGTTTTGAGTGCTTCTTTATTTTCTGGCACTGCAAGATATCTAGGCTCTTGTATATTTTCTTCCTTAGTTACAGAATTAGTCTCTTCTCCAAGGTGCTCTGTCTCCTTTGATTAGTGATATTCAAACAAGAAGTACTAAGAAAATTGTTTATTTGCGATTTCTTATTTCTTAATGTTGACATTTATTGTTGAGAAATTTCCTCTTAGAACTGCTTTTGCTGCATCTTGAAGTTTGGTATGTTGTATTTCCATTATCATTTGTCTTTACATATGTTTCTTTTGATTTTTTTCTTTGAACCATTGGTTGCTTAATTTAATCTCCATATATTTGTGAATTTACCAGTTTTCTTTGTGTAAATTGATTCCTCGTTTCATTTCACTGTGATCAGAAAAGATGCTTAATATTATTTCTCTTGAAATATTATCTTCTCTCTCTGCCTCCTATTTCCATCTTGACTCTACTTGTTATCATTGAGAATTTACATTTTTTTCTATACCCTGATCAAAGAAATGCCCTCAGAATGGGACCTAAAGATCAGGTATTAGTGTTGGTGTTATTCTATTATTAATTATGACTATCAATTATGTGTTAATATTTATTGAACATTTATTATGCATTAGGTCTTGTGCTATTGCTTTACTTAAACCGTCTCATTTAAGCCTCATAACAACTCTATGAGGTGGAAAACATATATTGCTCTCATGTTATAGCTGAGGAAATTGAAACTTTGAGGACTTAAATCACCTATCCAGGATCACTCTCTGGTCATGAGTTTGAATAATGATTCTTATCTAGGATTCTGGGATCTGAGTGCTGAGTGATTCATTTATCCAGCCTGAGATGATTGCTCAGTGGAAGTCTGTGGGCAATTCTGAATAAGTTGGGGCATTGGTAATAATGGAGGGGTGTTCTCCCTTCTTTGTTGTCCTAAATCCCTTTTCACTGATCTCTTTCACACTAGATTTGTCTTTATGGTCACTCAACTTGTGGTGGCTTCAACTGCATAGGCACCTTTTGTCTCCTTTGGACCAACTGCCCACTTCCTCATAGTCACAGGATCTAGCAAAATGCTCTGCACACAACTGATGCTTATATTGGTTGCATGAGTTAAGAATTATTCAGGAATCTCTTTAAGTCCTCAAACTAGGCATATATTAAAACTAACTGGGAGCTTTAAAAAAATGTCCCAAGTCACGCTCTAGACTGAATACATCAGAATCACTAAGGTTGGGGGCAAACATTTGCTTTTTAAACGCTCTCCGTAGGATTTCATTGGGCCACCGAAGTTGTGAGTCACTTCTTTGAGGGGAAGCAGGATCAAGTATTTCCTGGTTCTGTTTAAGATATAATTGCATTTTGTAATGTAGGATTTAGGAAGCAGGAAGTACAAGTGCTGTGGGAACAGTGTTGTTTGAAGACTTGAAATATCAGCGATGGCCCTTTACTCTTTCCACAGTTTCCAAGAACAAAGCTGTCACATCAAGCTCTTCATTCCCTTTGATTTTGTTGCTCTCTCCT